TTCAGCCTAAGTGGAAGCTCCTATTACCTTCTATCAGCTTCGCAAATATTGCAAAAAACGCCATTTTTTCACACTTTGAGCACGTTATTCTCAAAATCTGGAGCTGATAGAAACTTTATACTTACGGACTCGTAATCAGCACAAAAACTCTTTCAAAAATAGCTTTAAGATTTGTTGCAATATTTTTCAATTTTTGTTGGCCTGTATGATCTGATTGGAAAACATTATATAGCGGGGCGATAGCAAATTTGATGGCCTGTAGGGTGGTGGAAAACTTTAGAACTGGAGCTTAAAAAAACTGAAAACGTGGTTTTCCCAGTTTGCAAAAATGATTATTTGGAAATATCTCAAAAACCAGTAGTTTTTATATTTTTGATTTAATACTCGGATTCAGTGAGTTATTTTACATAATAAAGTCGTTTGAAGTAGACGATTTTCCTTTGTTTTGTGTATCACATTGTTGCCTGAATGCATATGGTTTTCTAAATTTGCAAATGCAACATGCAAGTACTTACAGTTATCCTATTGGAATAAAATTTGCCACTGCTTATTTTTAGACCAAAAGACACTTTTCCGCCCGGCAAACGGACGGTGTAATGTACCTATCATTTCAGTTCGTTAACCGCTCTGCTAAGCGCTAGATTTTACTTCAAGAAAACTGCAGGAAAATAGAATACATAAGTATATGCATGTAAAAATATACAAAACAATTTTGTATTTCTTTTAACAGTTCAATACATATGTACAATCATATTTTTATAGCCAATAAAATGGGTCAGAGCGATAATATTTACTGCAGTAGCATGCGTGGAAGAGCGGGCAGTGTTGTTTCAAAATAAAATAAAAGCTTGTAAAAAATGCGGAATATAAATATTATTTAGGAAATTATACCTACATATATGGATTACATGTTGTCATTTTCACTTCTTTAGAGATAACAAACAGCCCTTGTACCTACTTTAAAATAACTTATTGAATGTGGGCTTTGCCTTTTATAGTTTTTAAGCGCATATTAATTTTTGTATTTAAAAGTAGCGATTTAACAAACGGTTTTTGCTTGATTGTTTAAATTTTGGTAAAGTAAAAAAAAAGTGAAATAAGCAGCGCGAAATAACTAACTTCGCCTGAAAATATGCTATGAAATACACCCTTTGCAGCAACCAAATAAACTCGGCTAGGCAACAAACTGCTTACGTAAAATTTACTGATACCAAAAGATTCTATGTAAAATGTAAAGCAAACAAAAGATATGCGTGCATGTTTCCATGTACATTTTTTACAAAATTTACCAATTTTATTCTTAAACAAAGGATGTGTAAATGAGGAAAAGAAATCTACATAATATGCATAGGCAATACCAATTTGTATAAGCGATTTTAACAAATGAAAATTACGGCTAATTACAAAACTTTTTCCGAAACTAAAATCAAATATGTAAATGCACTACGATTCATGATAAGACACTAAAGGCAACATTTAGCTTCACAATTTTTCTGTTAATTCAGGCACAGCTTTAAACAAATCAGCCACTAGTCCAATATCTGCCACTTGGAAGATTGGCGCTTCAGGATCTTTGTTTATTGCTACAATGGTCTTAGAATCCTTCATTCCAGCCAAATGCTGAATGGCACCCGAGATGCCAACAGCGATATACAGCTCTGGTGCAACAATTTTGCCCGTTTGACCAATTTGCAAGTCGTTGGGCACATAGCCAGCGTCAACTGCAGCACGGGAAGCACCAACAGCTGCACCGAATTTATCAGCCAGATCATACAGCAGTTTGAAATTGTCGCCAGACTTAAGACCGCGCCCGCCAGACACGATCACCTTGGCACTTGTCAACTCGGGACGGTCAGATTTTGTAAGTTCGTGCGAGACAAATTCACTCAACTGCGAGGCATATTCGCCAGCTGGAGCTTGCTCGACAGTCCCGCTACCACCAGTAGCTGCAGCAGGCGCAAAATTCGTGCCTCTTACTGTGATCACTTTAACGGGATCCTTTGAACGAAGAGTCAGTATTGCGTTTCCTGCATAGATTGTACGCACAAAAGTGTCGTCGCTCTTTATATCGATAATTTCCGAAATGGGCGAAACATCCAATTTGGAAGCAACGCGTGGCAGCACATTTTTACCAAATGCAGTGGCACCAGCTAAAATATGTGTAAATTTGAACTGTGATTGAGCAGCCAACACCAGCGGAGTGATAGATTCGGGCATGAAGCCCTTGAAAGCAGCATTCTCAGCTACCAACACCTTGGCAACTCCTTCGACCTTCGAAACTGCTTCAGATGCCTATAAATTAAGTAAAATAAAGATGCTTAGTAGTAACTTATGCAAACATACGAGTTTGGAAAATTTGTGCAACTGACATACCGGACCACATTTGGTTCCTGCTACCAGCACAGTAACGTCACCGCCGATCTTCTTTGCAGCTGAGATAGTGTTCAATGTGATAGGATTCAGCGCCTCGTTGTTGTGTTCGGCTACCACTAGAGTGCTTTTACAGCGGTGGAGCTGTAACGAGTGGGCAAATTGTTGTTGTAGTCGATAGTAGAAAATTCAAGCAAATTTTTGCTTACCAAGCCGCTACGTATGAGATTCCTTGTATTGGAACTTAACATTCTCGTTAATTAAGAAGTATAAAATAAAACAAATATAAAATAAAGCCTAATTTGCCCACAAAGATAAGATCTTTCTAAATCGTAATAACTTTAATTGAACGACCTCTCGCCGATCGCCACGAAAGTCCAAAAGTCAAATGAACAATCGCAGCTGATCGTGGTGAAGTTCAACAGGGTTGCCACTGAAAAAGCTCCATTCTCTTGAAAAAAATTACCAAATCAGGAAAATATCTACCAAAAGTTCTTTTTTAGTTATTTTAACAAATACTATAGATTTGTTCTACTTTTTAGTTTTTCTAATACAAACTAAAATTTTTTTGGTAATTCTCTAGTATAGGGTAACAACCGCTAAAAAAGGTCCGGAAAAGTCGGGAGGGGTACCAAACAACGTGTTTCGATCCCCTATTAAGAATCGAGAGGGGGAGGGCTAATATTAACCATTTAATACTACGTTCGAATTGACGAGCTAAACATGTTAAATGGGCTTGAACCAGTTAAATGAACAAAACATGTTCATAAACAAGTTAAATCGCATGCAATTGTTGTTGGAAAATTGAACCAGTTAAATAATTTAACTCGTTTTAAAACCAGTTCAGCGCAGAGTTGTATCAGAAAGCTTTTTGCTCCGACCAATCGGAAAGACCCAAAAGCTTTCATTTGACACGCCAACGTTCAAAAAATGTATACTCTGAAAAATATTAAAAATTATCAAAAAATGTCAAAATTGTATGCATGTCTCCCCGCCAAAAAAGAGGCCAAGGCGGTAATTAGTTATTTCCGCAGAGATAAATAGTGCATACGAACTAACCATTTTGAAGTCTCTAAGTTATCCTTATGCGTTAATATCATGAACCAGACATTCGCTGGTAACACTGGACCACAAATTTCAACTTTTTCTCTTTACCAGAAACGCCGTTATGAAATTCTTATGTTAAATCACCCCCTGATTCCGAAAATCAAGGTTATTTTTAATTCTATGGTACCGTTTTTGAGATATTTGCAATTTACCGTTTTTGCAAAAAAAAAAAAAATTGGGTCCACTTTATCATATATATCTCAAGAACGAATTAAGCAATTCCAAAACGGTTTGAAGCTTTTAAAAGGTAATAAAATTTTCTATAA